GCTTGGGGCCCTAGAACAACAGAGCTAAGGGGCTTTGGACTCTCTAAGGTCCCCGTTTCCCAACTCCCTCCTCTAGCCACCTCTTCGTGCCTCTCTTTGTCCCTAAGGCCTGGGCAGCAGCTACCAGGAAGCCTCAGAGGCTAGGTTTCTCCACAGGGCTCAAGTCCAGAGTAGACATGGCAGAAAAAGAGGAAAGGAGAGAGATCTGTTTGTCTCCTGCGTAGTTACATTCACAGCGTGTACATATTGCCCTGGGCACCAGGAAATTAGGAGCCTGGGCAGAGTGTGGGTGTGTACCGTGTATCCATAGTGAGAGAGGGTCACTGCCAAGACGTATCATGTGTGTGTGTGTTAATATAGTGTGTCTGCAGCTCACTGACCCATGTGATATGTCTCAGGTTCTCTGAGGGAGTTTTCATGAAGTGTGTGTGTGTGTGTGTGTGTGTGTGTGTGTGTGTGTGTGTGTGTGTGTGTGTTGGGCAGATCTCATGTGTGCAATGTATATGTTGTGGGTCTGTGGTCATTGCATCTCTGTAACGTGTGTCTGTTCATGTTTGTGCACTGTGCATGTTCGCACTTCGTGCCTGAGTGCCCTGTTCAGGTAGCTTGTGCTCTGGGTGTGGTTGTGCTTGATGTCTGTGGATGTGGCCTTCTTTGTACAGTGTGTCTCTAGTTCTGGGCGAAGGTGTATCACTAGGCTGGGAGAGACCTAGGGATGAAGGAATAGATGCCATTCCTGTCTGTGTCCAGGTCAGCTGAAGCTGTGCTGGATATGAAAGGAAGGTCCCCTGGGTGGGCAGTGGGCACAGCAGCGGCGCCTTCCGGCTTGGCTCAGGGCTGGTAATTGGAGCCCCTTCCCTTCATGAAATATTGATTCTCCTGGAAGGCAGCCCTGACCAGGGGAGGGGCCGGCAGGCATGAGCACCGGCCGCTGTCCTTGGTGCTGTCGATGCTGCCAGCTGAGTGTTGGTGCTCAAGCGAGAGGCTCTGAACCTAACACCATTAACAGAGAGAGGTCCCCACTCTCAGGATGAGTTTACCTGCCCCTGCCTGGACACTCTGAGAGTGTCTTCACTCCACCTAGGAAGGGGCAGCAGGGGAAGCAGGTGGGTATCTTACTGAAATCCAGTATGTCAGGGCTGGGGTGACCAAAAAGCTCTGGGTTTGCCTGGGTTGGTCCTAGTTTACAAATTTGTCTACAGTCCTCACAGGTTTGTTAGAAGTGCTCCTACTCACTCTCACAGGGGTCCTGGTGGATGATAAATGATGTTCCTACCTGCTGTAAGATTGATCCAAAGACCTATTCCCCCATGTCTCTGCTCTGCCTGGGGGTTCTGTAGCCATGTGGTGTGCTTTACATGTGTTTGGGGTGCAGTAATTGTTCTTCCCGTACTGGGCTGAGCTGGACTAAATGTTTGGGCGCCCCATGGACCTTGGGATCCTACTGCAGCCCAGGCCTTCGCCTGGAGTATCCAGACCCTTCTTACCAATCTAAATTCTACCTTTCCTACCTGATGTGTTGGTACCAGAGGGTCAGGTGAGTTTGAGACCAGCCTGGTCTACATAGCAAGAGCCTATCCATCCAATCAATCCATCAATTAGTGCTCCTTTGTTTGTTTGTTTTGTTTTGTTTTGTTTTCGAGACAGGGTTTCTCTGTGTAGCTTTGGTGCCTGTCCTGGATCTCGCTCTGTAGACCAGGCTGGCCTCGAACTCACAGAGATCTGCCTGCCTCTGCCTCCTGAGTACTCTGGGTGGGATTAAAGACATGCGCCACCACACTTGGCTGTGAATCCTTGTCTCAAAAAAAGTAGAAGATCCTAAGAGAGGATGCCATGAGAATACAGATGGAAAGTCACATACCACCTCACTGTGGACTGCAGGGAGGTCTTCCTCAGAAGCAGAAGAAGCCAATGGATAAAAGCAAGCACTAGCCGGGCGGTGGTGGCGCATGCGCCTTTAATCCCTAGGCCACTCCTGATTTACAGGGCAAGTTCCGGGACAGCCAGAGATACACAGAGAAACCTTGTCTCAACAAAACGAAGAACAAGCAAATAACAACAAAAACAGAGGCAAGGGCTCTGCAGCCCAGGCTAGCCTTGAACTCATGGAGTCCCTTGAGCGTCAGGCTCCCAAGTGTTGGAATCACAGGCCTGAAACACCATGCCCAGCTTCTCCTCTCAGAACTGCCCATTCTCCCCTCTGTAAGCCCCTTTCTTTTCTCCTGCCTGTCACTGAGGGTGTTACACCTCTTGCCCTGGGCTCACCTATACTCTCCCGGGAACATCCCACTTCTTTCTACATCTCTCTTCTTCTCTGGGAACACACCCATTCCTGCCCACTCCTGTAGGTCCCCTGAGCTCAGCGGGTCTGCTTCCTGCCCAGTGGCTCCACCCATAAACTGCAGTGTTCGTTAGATTCCTTGTGACTAACATGGGTACTCATTTCCCCCCTTGGCCAGGTTTGTCTTCAAGGACCCCTCAGGCTCTGTTGATGGCATCTCCCATTCCTCTCCTCCTTATAAATCAGCTTGGATTCCATTTACTCCCTTCTCCCAAATTTGTCTCTTCATCCCGTCGAGGGACTCCCAAACCACTCCCTCCCCTCTTCCTCCATGCAGGGCAGCTGTGCAGCCCTTCCAACATGTATGGAGCAGCCGTTCCAACCTCCATCAGCTTGTTCCTGATTCTGCACGCAGTGCTGGATTGATCTCTGGAAAGCACTGTGCCTAAACCTTGTTAGATTTCCTGCAGGATTAAAGACATGCTTCTCAGCTCCGCAGTCAGGGACCCTCATTGATGGCCTGTAACCTCCCTCTCTCTCCAGTCCCCTCTTCCACAGCTGCACTTGTCTTCTGCTCCTCTGCCATGCTCTGTTCGTGCGCCTCTGAACAGGCCTGTTCTGGAGACCTTCTTAGTGGTCCCCACTGCTTCCCCATCCAGTGGCCTCTATCATCCCATTCCCACCTATCTTCTGCTCAGCTCCACTCCGTACTTCTTCCTGATGCCTTCTCTGGTGTCCCACAGCCTACGGTGTTCTTTCTTTTTACATAACAGAGTGTTTTCCCTTGGCATCTCGGATCCATGAGTGGTCCATGGGCCAGCAGCAAGGGCATCATTTGGGAGCTGGTGGAAAACAGACAGACAGATAAACAAACAACCAGAATCCCAGGCTCCACCTGGGAGCCCTAGGGTCAGAATTGCACTTCAGCATGATCCCTAGGTGGTCTGTGTCCACATCTGAGTTGGAGGAGTGCTGGTCGGTTGTTCACTGTGTACCCTGCTTGTTTTGATGCACAGCCTTTTGCCAGGATGTGGGGGATAATCTGAGATGCCAAGTTTAGCACCATCAGGTGATGGCTGCCATGTCGGCCAGATTCCACAGTCTGGTGGAGGAGTGGATAGTGGAGATGGCCAAGAAGACTGTGTACCCTTCCCACCTCCCGGGCCCCAGAGCTCAGACTCTGTAACTCCAATGCAGAAAGTGCTCTGGAAACCCAAGGAGGAATCAATTAATCAATAGAAAGCAGGCGTCAAGCATGTAGCAGTTTGTCCCTGCTCACAGAACACACACGGTGGAAATGTCTGTTATTTTAGCATATGTTTTGGAAAGGAAAATATTTATTTTTTTCCTTTATTATAGCATTAATACAGTTTCTAAAGTAGTAGCTTTAGAAAACACAATATGTCACATGAAAAAAATAAAACTGACTCATGGTTCCTCTCTCCATTGGTGTTCATTTGGTACTTTTGGTTGCCATTCATTCTTTCTACAAATATTTACAGAGCCCTGCTACATTGCCAGGCCCATGCCAGGTACCAGGGATTTAGGGTGAAGAACACAGTTCCTATTTTTAAGCAGCTCACAGCCTGGGGCTGGGTGTGGGAGACAGGCACTGCACAAGTTACCAACGGCAATTTGTTCATGTCCCAGAGCTGCTGGGACAAAGTACCACAAATGAGGTTGCTCAGAGCAGTCTGAATCTGTTCTCCCAAAGCTCTGGAGGTTGGAAGTTTGAAATCAAGGTGTCTGGAAGGATTGATTCCTGTGCGATCCTTGGCAATCCTCGGCAGTCCTCGGCTTGGTGCTCCAGTCTGGACTTGCATACCATCTTCCCTTTTCTCTAGTCGGTGCTGTCTTCCTGAAGGGACACTAACTGGAGTAGGGACAACCTCCGCCCCCCACCCTTTCAGGATGACTTTAATCACATTTGCAAAGGCCACATTTTCAATGAAGGCCACACTGTAGATACAGGGTATCAGGACTTTACCTCGTAATACTCAAGGACAGTACAGAGTTCTGGAGGAGCAAGAGAGGAGACTTTCTTTACCCAGGAAGATTGCTAGGAAATGACCTTCAGAGGGGGACTGAGAAGAGCTGGAGTCAGGGAGGCAGAGGTGGAGGGATAGACAAGCATTCAGTCCTTGGAGCATGGCGGTAAGGGCAAGCTATAGAAGAGTGTTCCAGGTAGACAGGAGACACCGTGGCACTTGTGAGGAATGGAAAAGATGGGGCAAGCAGCCACGACATTGTGGAACCAAGGGGAGGAAGTCAGTCAGGGACTGGAGGCCAGGTGAAGGACAGGAGGCCGTAAGTGTCACGCAGAGGGCGGGTTCATCCTGGGTAAAGACCATCTCTCCCCGGGACTGATCATCCTGGAGCTTGGCTTTCTCTAAGTCGCTGGTTCTGAGGGAAGAGTCTCTGGCTGGGAGAAGAAACGTGTTAGCTCTGTACTCAGAAGAAAGCGTTTCATAAGTCGTCTCTGCACAGGACACAGGGCTCCTCTAGCCCAGACTCTGCTGGACTGAGGGAACGCTGAGTCTGGGACATTGGCCGGGATATGATCACAGCACCTGCATTACTGTGAGGGCTGTGACTAGGGCTGTGACCAGACGATGGGAGAAGACAGATCTCTCAGGAACATATTTTCAGTGCTCTTCCCTTGTCAGGGACTATCTGGAGCCTGGTGCCTTCCTTCATAGGACCCAGACTAACTGGGTCTCAGCTCATCCCTTACCACACACCCTTAGAGGGTTGTTCCTTTCTGGCGTGTGGTGGGAGAGGGCCCACCTTGCCCAAAGCTGCTGTAACCGCCTTGCCTGGGCTGGGTGGGCCAGCCTGGGTGGAGAAGTGGGTCAGCTGGTAGCCATGGCGACAGCAGCTGCTCCCTGCCAGCCTTCCCATCTCTTCACCACAAACCTCACCGGATGAGCTTCTTTGTGTGGTCCAGCAGAGATGGGAGCCAAGAGGATGGGACTGGGGTGTGGAGAGTGTGAGTGTGTATGTGTTCCAGCTCACACAAGGGCCTGCTCCAAGCCGGTGTGTGAGCCCCAGCCTAGGGAGCCAGGCTCCAGGTAAGACTCATCTCACTTTCCTGCCAAGGGGAGCAAGGGGCTTTGCTGTTGCTCCTCTGGCTGGGCAGGGCCAACGGGAGGAGACATTGCATGTGACTGTGTGAAGCTGTGTACACACGAGTCTGAAAGTCTGTGTGGCCGCATCTGTGGGTCTTTGTGTGGGTGAGCATGTGCATATCTGTGAACTCATGTGCTTGTGTCTTTAAAATGTGGGTAGCAGCTTTGTGGGTCTGTATGATATGATCACATTTGATATGAACACATTATGTGCTCTCTCTTGCTCTGTCTCTGTCTGTCTGTCTCTTTCTCTCTCTCTCTCTCTCTCTCTCTCTCTCTCTCTCTCTCTCTCTCTCTCTCTCTCTCTCTCTCTCTCTCTCTGTGTGTGTGTTGGGGGCTATTTCTGCAAAGCTAAGAGGTCTCCACATTAGGAGAGTAGGTGAGACATCGTGCTCTGCTCCCCACACTCTCAGCCTGTGCTTTCTTGGCCTAGCCTGCCTCCCTCACCACATACCAACCCCTGCCACCCTCTCAGCTCTCCCTAAGCAGAGGAAGAAAGGGCTAGACTTAAGGGCCTCTACCGGGGTTTGAGGCAGGGTTCTCGGGTGCCAGACCCAGCATCCAGCCAGGGCTCCAGCGTGGTGCTCAGGCAGCCTTCCCAGCTACCTCCCATCACAATTGAGAGGTGCATTCGTACCCCACACACCTAGAGTGCGGTGGTGCATGGGCCTCCCCCTGAACAGGCTGCTCATGGTGGGCAGGAGCTGATGTCTGGGAAAGTGTTTACCTTGTACCAGGCACCATCATTCACAGTAAGTAGGTAATTGTCTAACTGGGCAGTGAGCACGTACCGATCTTGTTTTGTAATCTTTTACCTAACACTCCTAATGCACACGTGGTCATCCCAGTTTAGGGAAGAGGAGCCATGTGCTGGGGGTTGGGGGTAGAAGCCTTCTAACTCTGCTCAGGAGTGGTAGGCCTGGGTATCACACAGCCCAGCTCCTGAGCACATGCTTTTTTTTTTTTTTTTTTTTTTTCTTTGCATCTGTTCCTGTTGACCCAAATGATCCATAGTCAGCTGGGAAAGCTGGGTAGGTAGGTTCCAGGTGGCCATCAGACTCTTCTTTTTTTGTTGATTTTTTTGTTGTTGTTTTTTGTTTGTTTGTTTGTTTGCTTTTTGAGACAAGGTTTCTTTGTGTGACCCTGACTGTCTTGGAACTAGCTCTGTAGACCAGGCTAGCCTCGAACTCACAGAGATCCATCTGCCTCTGCCTCCCATGTGCTAGGATTAAAGGCATGTACTACCACCGCCCAGCTCCATCAGACTCTTAGAGAAGAAGAGATGGAAGTTAAGAGACTCTGGGTGACTTTCTCAGAGTTAGCGCCTCCTACCCTGACTGCTGGGCACTGGTTCTCAACCTGTGGGTCTCAACCCCTTTCACAGGGATCACTGAAGACCATAGGAAAACACAGATATTTACATTACGATTCATAACTGTAGCCAATTTATAGTTATGAAGTATCAACAAAAATAGTCTTATGGTTGGGGGTCACCACAACATAGGGAACCACATTAAAGGGCCACAGCATTAGGGAGGTTGAGAACCACTGGTCTAGGGGGGACACACAGAGCAGATAGAGGAAGAGAGGGTGGGGCCCAGAGCTCCTGAGCATTCTGGCCTGGGTGAGCCAGCCCTTCATGTATTAGAGAATGTTGTTTGTTTTGCTTTAATACAGGTATGGCACATACCTGCCATCCTGCACTTTGGAGGTAGAGATAGGAGGATCAGGAGGTCAAGATTATCCTCAACTGGACTGGGGAGATGGCTCAGCAGTTAAGAGCACTGGCTGCTCTTCCAGAGGTCCTGAGTTCAATTCCCAGCAACCACATGGTGGCTCACAACCATCTGTAATGGGATCTGGTGCCCTCTTCTGGCCTGCAGGCATGCATGTAGGCATAACACTGTATACATAATAAATACATCTTTTAAAAAAAAAAAGATTATCCTCAACTATATAATGAGCTGGAGGTCAGCCTGGGCTACTTGAGACCATGTCTCTAATTAAGCTTCTCTCCCTTTTTTTTTTTTTTTCTCCTCCTGGGCCTGGGGATGGACTTCAGGGTCTGCCTGCACATGCTAGGCTGACATCCACTCCTGAGATACACATTCCCATCCTTTAAAACAAAAAAATCTTAAAGCTGCTGGGCTTCAGCAGACTGACAGTGAAGTACCTGAAGGCAGATTCGGGACCAGGAGTTTTAAAGGAGGAAACAGTAGCACCCACACCCCTTCAATCCCAGCCCTCAGGAGGGAGGCGGGCAGAGCTCTGAGTTCAAGGCCTGGACCAACAAAAACAAAAAAAGGAGGAAACAAAAATCTGAAAATCGGAACTACTTTCTCGGTGTCCCACAGCTGTCCCCAAAGCCTGTGCTTTTCCTCCAGCAGCTGCTGGAATTCCCTGGGGACAGAAGCCTTAACTCACTTTCTTTTGTGCTCAACTCTTGCCTTGCAGACCCTGTCATCACATTCCCTCCTCCTGGAAGCCTGCCCTGATTGCCTTTATCTCCTTTCCTGAAAACTGGTATCTCTGTGGAAGTGAGGCATCGTGCAGATGCTCTAGGGCTGTGCCGTGGAGAGGGCACAGCCCCCTGTGATGCGGAACACTACACTCAGATTCATCAGCTCGGTGAGCTTATCTTTCCTCTAGGTGGGAGGGAAGAAGAGAGGGAGGGTGCCCCTGACTGGATGGGACGGGAACCTGGGGTTTAGAAGACTAGGATTGGCTTGTAGCCTTGGGTGTATCTCTTTTCCAATCTCCGCCTCTGTAGTTGTAAGGCAGGAGTAGGGAGGATGTGTCAGTTTGGGCTCAGGAGCTGCTTCTCCTGAGCTGGTGCTGGAGCACTGTTGAGGGGCTCCTGAGGTCGGTCGGTCGGTCGGTCTGGCCTCTGGGAACAAGGTGGACTAGTGATGCTGCTGTCGGCAGATGATGGAGAAAGGTGGATGAGCCACTTGCTGTCCTCTCCGGCCTCACAGTGCAGGCACCCTGGGGTGAGGTCCTTGTAAGAGTGGGTGGCTAAGTTCATCTTGGGCTTTGGGGTCCTTCATTGACTGCCAAGAAGAGCTGCTTGACTGGTCAGTCACGTAGTCAAAGGGATGGAAGGCTGCAGGGGACTTGGCAGGGCCTTGAGACCTGCTCCAGGAATTGTAGCGTCTCTAGGGTAGCAAGACCCCAGGGAGAGGGTCCCCTCTGAGGGCAGAAAAAGCAACACCAGGCCCATCCCTGGGTGTCTGTCTCCCAAGGACCCATCGGAACCATTTCCTCTGCTCCTGTGTAGTGGGCGGGAGTCAGCACAGAGCTCTGCCAAGTGAGGGTTCTGTAACTCAGGGCATCACAAGGGGGATCACTACCTTGATGTGTCAGGAACGGGTCAGGGAAAGGGTCCTGCTCAAGCAGGGCAATGTGATGTGACCTTCATGGAAAGGACATTACGTCGTTCATTTGGCAATCGTTTCAGCCCTCAGTATGTGGCATGCTGTGTTCCGGGTCCTCATTCTCTCATATCTCTGCTACCTCCCCTTCCACATCCCTGTGATCTGATGGCTCAGGGCTGCTGTGCAGTGAACTTCCTTCCTCTGGGGCACAGTGTGATTGATCCCTGTGCCTCTGGCATCCCTGCAGAGAGGACTTAGAGACATGGTTATTGTTGTTGTCCTCTGCCCACCATCCCCCCCCACCCCTTGTTTTGCAACAGGGTCTGATGTAACCCAGGCTGGCTCTGAACTCATTATGTAACCAAGGATGACCTTGAACTTCGGTCCTACTGTCTCTACTCCCCCCCTCCCCCAGTGCTGAGGTTACAGGTATGCCAGCTAGACAAGCACCCTACCGGCTGAGTTATACCTCAGCCCCAAGAATCCCAGTTCTGAGCCTTCCACCAAAGCATATATATGGTCTCAGACTCAGCTCCCTTGACAAAAGGACTTTTCCAGAGCACCTAATTTGACCCCTTCCATTTAACACAAAGATGAGGAAACCAAGACCCAGAAAAGAACACAGGAGGAATCAACTTATGTTCTGATCCACATACCTAAGCCTCCCAGGTTTCTGTGCCCAGGACCTCAGGCCTACTGCTTTGGGTCTGGCTCCTCCTACCTTCTTGGGGAGTGGCCTGCAGGCTGGGGTCACCCAAGCACTCCTCAGTCTTCAGGTACTTGAAGATGAGAGCCTGGCTCAGTATGGTAGAAAGTCCTGGATGTCAGTCCGCTTGTCGGTCTGTTTATTATTCATGAGGAAACATGAGCTCCCAGGTTGGCAGGGTCTGGAATTCTGTCCCTTCTCACCCCTCAAGTGTCCTGGAGGCTCACCAGGGAACTATGTGCTTTTCTAGCTGTGGTCTAGGGTTTCTCCCCTTAAATGCTCTCACCAGCTTGGGGAACTTGGGTCACAAAGGGTTTTCTCATCATAGATACTTGCCTTGCAGTTTTCTCAAAGAACCCAGAGACTCAGGGTGGTGCCTGCCCTGGAGGGGTAGGCCCTCACCTTTGGATGAGGTCTGGACCGAGGGGTAGGGGCTACCGAGCATGTAGGCTTCTTTGTAGATGCAGGAGACCTGGGTTCGAAGCCAAGCCTTGCCACTTCCTAGCTGAGTAGGACAAGCCGGTCTTCTGCTTCTCTGAGACTCACTGTTCTCATCTGCCCTGAAGAGATAATGAGGCACCTCTCAGAACTACTGTAGTGGCCAATTAGACTCACACTGTGGCAGATTCACAACATCAGATAAGCCCTGTCCCATCTTCCACCAGAAGACTGTACAGATATCCCCAAACCCTCACAGACTGGCACAAGAAATGGAAACAAAACAGAAGAGATCATCACAGGCCACAGGGACTTTCCATTAGCTCTAAGGTTGATGGAGGATGGAGAAACACAACCCTAGACTCCGTACCACCACAGGGGGAAGGCAGTCCACAGCCCCAAAGAAGGCAGAAGGAGGCCTTGACTCACCCCCTCTATTCAGCCTCAGTTCACTGGTCTAGCAGGAGCCAGGCTGACAGGACAAGTAGCCGTTCTCAGCAGTGTGGGGACTGTCTTCCTTGGCAGCCAGAAAAAAGCCACCCCCTTCCACCTTCATTTCCTCTTCCCGTCTTCTACATCCTTTTCAAAAGTCAGACTCCCTCAAGCAAAATGTCCTGACCCCTGGGATGCACAGCTAGCCCAGGAAGAGACTGGGTGCCAATGTAGAACAAAGGGGTGCAGAGTATGAAGGGGTGTTTTTCTTACTATGCCTGAGCAGAGCCAGCTAGTGCGGCCTTGGACCTAACAGCCAAGCCATAGACCGTTGCAGCTGGAGAGATGGTTAAGTGGTAAGGACTTGCTGTGCAGACATGAGGACTGCGTTTCAGATCCCCAGCTGGTCTAGCCAAGTGATTGAGCTCCATGGACAGTAAGAGACCCTGTCTTAGAAAACGAGGTAGAGATTGATGATTGAGGGAGACTCCGGACATCAGCCTGTGGCCTCCACACTTACAAACACAAAGAGACCCCACCTCTGTGTAAGGCAGGGCCACCGACGCCTGCCATCCCCTCCCCCAGAGCGCTCTCGGAGCGCTCTGTCCTCCTCCTCCCTGGCTCTTATCGTAACCACCATTAAATATTTAATGGTGCAATTAGTTATTTACTGTCTGTCTCCCCTCCTGGACTGGAGGTCTTGGGAGGGCAGGACCAAGTGGACCTGGCTCACTGCTGTATCCCTGGCACTCGGCCCTGGCCTTGGAATTTTAGGAAATTAAACATTTGTTGAATGCAGTTAATGAGGACAGTAAATTTTTATACTTTGGAAAGGGATTTGGCAATATAATCCAAGAATTTTTTTTTAAATCCCTAATATCAGGCAGAATGCTTTTAGATATAACGGAGAACACTGATTCACACTGGCTTAAGCAATAGAAAACACATTCTTTCTGAACTGAATACCAGAGAAAAGTGGGCTCCAGGTATGGCCCAGTGTTCTCCGTGCTGTGTGCCATGGTCCTCGGCATCACTGGCCTCTGCCTGCATTTGGGCTGTAGCAGGAGGGGTATGGATTGGGAGGGAGCAGGTCTCTACCACTCCTAAGGTGAGCTGTTTGAGCATTGGTCAGATGCCCTACTCCTGAACAAATGACTTGCTGAGGAGAAAGCCATTGACCATTCACCAGTGACCTTAAGCTAATCAGTGTCTGCCTCAGAAACAAGACAGGGTAGCACCTGGCCAAAACCATTGTCTGCCAGCCAGCTGGGGAGAGGGGGTGGCGGCTAGGAATTTGGGACACTCCCGTCATTCTCACCCCCTGTCACCCGCCAATCCGTTTCTAAGGAAATCATAACCAGTTCAGAAAGATGTTCATCTCAGTGTTTGCTTGTTTTGGGACAAGATCTCATGTAGCCTAATCTGGTGACCTTGAACTCCTGATCCTCCTGCCTCCACTTCCCAAGTGCTGGAGTCACAGGCATGAAGCACCATGCCTGGCTTCAGGGTTTATTTAAAAGAGAGGAGCGAGAAACTTGGATCAGATTCAGGAGGTAACTGCATTGAAATATTTAAGTCAATTATGTGCCGTCTGTACAAGGGACGATTACAGTGGCATTAAAACATTTATACAAAGTGTTAATGACATTGGGAAATGCTACGATGTGATGTTGGATGAAAAATCCCAGAATTTAAAATCATATTTACAGTATGAGTCCAATTATTTTTTAAAAGCACAGAACAGAGCTGGGTTAAATGTTGACAATGAGGTCTGTCTGAAGTATAGGAGACTGTGATTTTTGACTCCACTTTAGGCTTTTCTGGGCCAGCCCTTTCTGTCCCTCTCTGCACAGACTTCTGCTCCTGCTCTTGTCACTCACTGTGAGCCCAACCTGCCTTGGCACTGTCCTTTGCATTTTACACAAGTCCCTAATTTAATCCTTAAAGCCATCCTGGGAAGTAAAAGGGCTTTGATGGTTTCGTTGTTGTTGTTGTTTTGCTAAGGCATTTGTGGAAACTCCAACATGTCTGGTCACAGAGTTACCCAGCTGGTGGATGGAAGCCTTTGGAGTTCCACCCCAGGCCTGTCTCTACTGCCCAATGAAGTTGTCTGCTGCTTGTCCAGAGCCAGGCTCTAAAAGTTCCATTTTTGTTCTCTAGGGGTTTTGTTGTTTTACTTGGTATATTAAAATGTTTAAATTACATTTATTTATTTGGGGGGGGGGTAGTGCGCATGTGCCACAGTTTGTGTGGGAAGGTTAGAGGTCAACTTTTGGCAGTTGAGATCCCTGGGACTATGTGAGTTCCAGGAGGAGAACTGAGGTCAGGCTTGGCAGCAAGCATCTTACGCACAGAGCCAGGTCCCAGGCCGGTTCTGATTGTTGCAAGGCTGGGAGAGGGGTTGAGGGGTTGGGGTTGGTTCACACCCCAGGCCTCATCCACACGAGACAAGTGACAGTGCCCACGTTTTATTGACTCAGACTTGGAGATTTATTCGTTCATTTCATCCTTAACCACCTCAGAGAGACCTAGTGAATGACCCAAAGTCACATAACTAGGAAGTGGTGGAGTAGCAGGAGAGTCACAGGGATGTGATGTGGACTCCCTTTTTCTCTCGCTCACCTTCAGAATTGCCTGAAGCCCTGCCGCCCTGAGGACCATGTTTAACGGGGAGCCTGGTCCAGCCTCAGCTGGGGCCTCTAGGAACGTGGTACGGAGCTCCAGCATCAGCGGCGAGATCTGTGGATCCCAGCAAGCTGGGGGTGGGGCCGGGACCACCACGGCCAAGAAACGACGCAGCAGCCTGGGTGCCAAGATGGTGGCTATCGTCGGCCTGACCCAGTGGAGCAAAAGCACACTGCAGCTCCCCCAGCCTGGTGAGGGGTGTGGGCACCAGGAAGCGGGGAAGGGGGAGGAGTGAGGAGGAGGGGAGTGGGGTGTTGCTGAGTCCCCATGGACTAAGGGTAGATGCATACTTTGTGGGTGCTTTATGGGCCAGTATGCGTGACATTCTGTAGTCCTCACTGGCAGGCAGGAACAGCCCAGAGAGGGAAAGTCAGGTGCTCCAGACTGCACAGCTTCGGGTGGTGGAGTTCAGACTCAAGCCCTAGTTGTCCCTCCCAGTTCCGGCTCTGTACATGCTGCCGCCTCCACATACTAACGTTGTTTGAAACAGCCATGCTAAGGGACCCCACACTTTTATAGACGGACATCCTCACGATCCTGTCCTAGTTGTCATCTCTCAGTCCCCTAAGGACAAATAGCCCCACAAATATAGTTGCATAGTCACACATAGGTATTGCAGAGTCACAAGAGAGACGCAAATACATGGCTTCTGCAGTGACAGATCCAGAGTGTTCATTTGCTCAGATAAGCCACTTATACTGCCAGGAAATCATGGTCCAGTTATTCTCATTACACTGTCCATGGTTGCAAATAAACTCTAAATACGGTTCTCTGAACACAGACAAAAAGACCCACATCACTTAGATGCACATGCGCCTCACAAAGCTACACATATGCCTTAGCCGATACATCCTCATATATAGGGTATGCATTTTCAGACATCTGGCTACAGAATTCCAGTTATGTTCAGACTTGGGAGGGAACCCACCTTGTCTCACACAGCCACATGTGGCCCCCACATCACAGAGGAGCCAGTCCTCCCTACCCAGACCTCCATTTGTGGCATTGGTCCAGACACCAGCTGGCTTTGTTTTAAAATCTCTTCCTGCTTATTTTGCTCAGAGTAACAACTTCCCCCAAAAACCTTCAAGTAGGCAGCTGGACGGGGGTGGGGAAGGGTAGAATGCTGGAGCATCCAGGGAGGATGCTCATCAAGACGCCCCAATGGGGCTGGTATTTGGGGGTGCTTCTCCAGACCTTAAAATAGATTTTTACAAAGCTGTCTACAGGAACACAGGGGATGGTCTTTTCCAGTGCTCAGGCTCCCGTGTGCTTTCTGCTCAGGGCAAGACTAGATGGGGAGAGTCTTGAGGTCATTAGTACCTTTGGCTGGGCAGTGTAGGTTTGAGAGGAGAGCAGGAAGATGGGGAGTTGGACTGGGACAAGGAGGGCTGGAATAAAACCAACCTGGGGGAATTAAGATTAGAAGGTCCTGGAGGAGCCGGCGGTGGTGGCGCACGCCTTTAATCCCAGCACTTGGGAGGCAGAGGCAGGCGGATCTCTGAGTTCAAGGCCAGCCTGGTCTACAGAGCAAGATCCAGGGCAGGCACCAAAACTACACAGAGAGACCCTGTCTTGAAAAATTTAAAAAAAAAAAAAAAAAAAAAAAAATCCTGGAGGTGTTGGAACCTAGAGGTCTGTGTCTGGTATTACAAGCACAGGAATCCAGCTCCAGACCCAAAGATGTCTTGTATGCAAAGTGACTGGGAGAGACAGTCTCCAAGGCCTGAGTCACTGGGAGGCATTGCGGGATCTGTTGTTGCTTCAGACAGCAGCAGGCTGGGATGGGAGCAGATGCCAGGAAGACCTGCTACCTTGGGGAGAGACAGGATGCTGGGGCCTCTGGATGCCTTGTCTTTGTGGTGTGTAAGGGCATGACTAAAGGCCCCGGGTCTGGGGCCAGGGGAATTGCCCAGATGCCTTTCCAAGTGCAGGTCCCTGTGAATCATCTAATCACTGAATGTCATAGCAGGAAGGGCCCTCCAGGTCATCCAGTCTGATGTACTCATTTATCTACGAGACTTCCAGAGCCTGAGGAGAAGGCACTTCCCTGGGGAATGACCTCAGGCTGGCCTTTGCAGCCACACCCCAACATTTACTAGCTGGACAGTTCAGGCAAGCTGCTTCCCTTCTCTGAGCCCACTGTTTGTTTTTTGAAGACAAAATATATGCTTTATAGATCTATCCAGGGATTACGTGAGATAGATATGCAAAGGTTCCCAGCCTCTCGTGAATGGCACATGGGAGACACTCAGCAAAGTGTTGATATTAAAAAAAAGATTTATTTTTATTATTTTTAATTGTGTGTGTGCATGTATGCATGCAAGCTTTGAGTGTGCCAGTGCCTCAGCTTGGAGCATCATCCTGGCTGGGAGACTCTGGGACTGTAGGCAAGTATGTGGTCAACTCACCAGAGATTGCTGCTGAGAAAAGATCCCAGAAGGGTGCCCCTGTTGCCCCAAGTGGAATGACTTGATTCCCTGTAGGGCTGGGCTATGGGGAGTCAGGAAGAATTCCTCTCCTGGACCTAGCCCTTGGAGCTCTAGATCTTTTTTTTTTTTTCCAAGAACCCCACTCTCCTGGTTCATCGACACCTTGATCTTCTTGGTTCCTTTGCCCCAGTTCACATAGTGCAATGTCTAGTCCGTAACATCATCCTCCCTCTAGCCCCCTGCCTGTCTGCACTCCTCCACTTTGTCATCATTCTGCCCTATTGCAGACCTCCCAAATCTCACCCTGTGCTTTAGAGGGCCTGTTCTGGCTTCATAGATCTCCATGGAACCGCCAAAAAGTCACTTTCTAGTTGGGACTCAGTTTCCTCTTCTGTAAAATGGAGCTAACAGTGCTCTCTTTCCAACTTCCTTTGAGATCTATCAGTTCTCTAAATTATAGGAGCAATGAAGAGTGAGGTCAGAGTTTTGGGGTCCTAGGACCTAAGTAAAATCTGGCCTGGCATCAATTAAGCTGAGCCTGCCAGGGGGTCATGCTTGGTGGAAGCGGACTTCTAAATGTCCAGTACCAAGGACAGAACCCTTCCCTCCTGAGCTACAGAGAGTGTTGCCGCAGGCCATGACTGCCCCTCTTTGTATGTGACGGGACAGGTAGAATGGCTCCTGGAATCTTTCTCCAAGGAACACTGAATTATTGCAACCGCGTGGACCAGTCAGTTCTCTAGAGAGAAACACCATAAAGTTATTCCCTGGGTCAGCAGGGGCCAAGGCTGAGCAGGAACAAAGCCAGTGGGGGGATGGTCTCTCTTGAGTTTGCAAGACCTTTCTCCCAGCACTGAATAGGCAGGAGTTTAATCTCTGCTGAGTCACACCTCCAAGAGAGGAAGCATCAGAAGGGGGGTGTCATGTCAGGCAGGGGGTCTGAGGGCCTGGTGGCTGGCTAGCCAGCTCTTTGGCATCCCAACCCTGGACTCTTCAGCTGTGAAATGGTGGAGGGGCCTGGAGAAGAATCTCTGACCTTTCAGGATTCTGCGCATTTCCCACTCACAGCCGCTCACACTGGGTTGGGCAAATCTTATCTAACTAAGAAGGTAATTTCACTTCCAAATGGGCCAGAGCTTTCCCAGGCTCTAAAAGAGCGTGTGTTGAGGGGGTGAGGATGTGAGGGGGAGGCAGGGTGACTTTCAGTCCCCCCCCCCCCCACGGCCATCTGTCTTCTAACTGGGTTAGAGGGGATGAGGCATTTAGGAGCCAGGGACAGAGAGAGTCCCATGGTAGGTCACATACCATGTGTGGGTGGACATCATGATGTGTGGTGAGTAGATGGGCTCACTTCTAGGTATTAAAAATCATATATATATATACACCTGTGTGACAGTGTACACTGTATCCTGTATCCATGTGAGACCTGGAGGGCCTGTGTGACTTTGTGTAGACAGACACATGGTATCATACATGAAGTTATTGTATTCATATATGTGATAGTCAGTACTCCTGTGTGTCTGTCTTATGCATGTGTAAGAGAAATATGCCTGAACTAAAATGACTCTGTGTGTGTGTGTGTGTGTGTGTGTGTGTGTGTGTGTGTGTGTCGATTCCCAAATATGCTAGCTATTCTGATAGCTTGCACTGAGTCTAGAGAACACATCTTTCTGTATGTTGCCCCTGTTCCCATCACCTCCCCTCCACCACCTTATCTGCTGGTATTTGCCTTCCTGACCTTCTCTCATCCAGTGGGGACTTCCTGAAGGGTAAGTGGGGCAAAATAGGAAGAGCAGAGGCCTTCTTTTCCCAAGCTGTGGACTTGAACATTCTCTCCGCAGCCTACTACTGGCTGCCTTCAGGTATAAATGTGCCGTTACCCTGCCCTAGGCACCCTTGCAGGCCACTCAACTAACCATTTTCTTGGGCCTGTGACTGGTGGCAGCAAATGGCCCCTTTGGTACCGACTCGTCTGAGTGCCACTCTCCTCCCCATCAAGTTGCTCAGCAATCAAGCTTTAGCAGGGGAGTCCCTGCAAAACCCCAGCCTGTCTCCCCTCCCCACCCCCGCCCAGGAGGAGAGCTGTCTGGAGGGACCACACTGCAATGCTAAGGAGGTTGCCATGGAAACCCAGGCAGGCTGGCGTGCTACTCAGAGAGGGAAAGTGCCCTGTGTTTCCTGCAGGGCTGAGGAGGGGGCTGGGGGGCCCCTGAATAGAAGGAGCAGAGACAGGGGAAGGGGCCTGCTGTGGACCTTCTCAAATCCAACCTCAGGTTAAGCTAGCCGCCCCACCCACCTGCAATCTTGCCTTCCAAGGTCCAGCTTGACGGTTGTGATGCTCTCCTTTTCAGACTTACCTTGAGAAGGCCAACTTCAAATGGTCAGGCTTCCAATGGGGGTTTTTCTAGGGCAGCAGAGAGGTGGTGGGTTTGGGGTCTGGTAGGAATCCAAAAGAGAGAAAATAAATCTGGGAATCCCAGAACAGACAAACTTTCCAGAAGTGAGAGGAAGGAGCAACTCTTAAGTTTGGGGGCTGAGGCTGAACAGAATGGGAAGGCAGAGTCAAGAGAACCCCGTGGAGGGGGAGGGCCCTTCCGCTGCAGGACTCTACCTACAGCTGCATTTCTCTGGGGGCACGCAGCATGTCTCTGGGCAGCTTTCTCTGTATCATTACCCTGGGCTGGGCCAGGGGTCAGCTCAGTGGTGTCCCAGCCTGGGCAAATGCCCGCCTGCTTCTCTGTCCAGAGCAGCACTTTAGTAGCACTCTTCGAGAAGCCTACGCCATGTTTTGACCTTGTTCCCTCTCTCTTCTTGGGTTGGGGACCCCAGAAGGGGCCACTAAGAAGCTGCGCAGCAACATCCGCCGGAGCACGGAGACTGGCATTGCGGTGGAGATGCGGAGCCGGGTGACGCGCCAGGGCAGCCGGGAGTCTACTGATGGGAGTACCAACAGCAACAGCTCCGAGGGCACGTGCGTGCACCTGCCAATTTGGTTTCCAGCCAAGATGTCTGCATACCTCCCTGCCCTGGCTTCCCCTTCCCCTCTCCTAGCTGTCTGGTCCCTGGGCCCAGGTCTTCCCATGGCTCCCAACAGAACACCCCAGAGGACCTGGAGCCCATCATTGGTTCTTTCATTTCAGGAGGGAACTTGGGTTTCCTGCCTCCCATCTCCCACCCTACACCCTGCTCCAGAGGAGACGAGCAGGAAGGAAAATGTGACCCTAAATTCCTTTTAAGCCTAAACTCATTTTCATGGCTTAGTTGTGTGAAATCTTTATAAATCACCTTGCTTGGAGATTAAGGAAGAAAATTGGACTAGATCCATGTTTTTAGAACAGTCACATCTTACCTTGTGACTCATAGGCAGGAAGTAAGATCGCTGTAGTGGGTCAAAAGCAGCATTAGAGAAAGAACTAGAAGACACAGGTGTAGCCTGTGTAGCAGGGTTCTTTCAGGACGGCATAGGTCAGCAGTGGGCTGTGGTGTTGGCAGCCTGTTTGTTTTTGCATGAGAGTTGGAGTGAGCGTTTGACAGTCACTGCTTAGATACCCTCCAGATCTGTTCTGAATTGGAGTTGGTAGATTTTCTGCTTCTCTTTCATCAAGGCCCTATAATTTTCAGTGTCAGGCTCCAGTGGCTTATTTAGTATTCAGTGACTGTCCTTACTCCTGTACAGGGACCCTTTGGCATCCCTGTGGGATTGGTTCCAAGACCTCCCATGGATCTAAAACCCACAGCTTCTTGTATCCCTTCAGTACACTGACTGGTACGGTGTTCGCATACTCGCTGTACCCATCCTCCTGTGTGATCAGGTCCTCTTTTGATCACCTGTAACACCCAGTCAAAGCTAAATGCAATAGTGATACCTGTTATACCGGTCTCACTATAAAGCTCAGGCTGGCCTTAAATTCAGAATCCTCCTGCCTCAGCCTCCTAAGCACTGGTATTATAGGTGTACACCCCAATTCCCAGCCTAGACTGTATTGTTTAAGGAATAATGATAAAAAAAGAGTCTGTGCTCAGTACAGACAACCTTTTTTTTAATACTTTCAGTCTGTGGTTGCTTGAATCCACAGATGCAAAACCCGTAGGTACAGATGGCCACCTGTACCTTCTAACATGGAAACAGGTAGCCATTAGCATTTACTACCTCCTGCCTTGTACAGAGCATTGATGTGTACCTTAGGCTAGTGACCCCCTCTCTGGAAGCCATGTGCTATGATCATTTAACACTTGTGCCCAACCTGAGTGAATTTGGAAACCATCCATGTCTCCATGTACAATGAGGGAACCGAAGCTCCTGAATGGCAGAGGCTCTTTACCCACAGGCACAATTCTTAAGACACAGGCCATTGTTTACACTAAGGTCACTTGATTCCATAACCTTTATTCATAATCTCCACACCGTATACCAGTCACATACACACCCCATGCACCCCAGTTCTGAGACTTTGAGTCTACATCTCTTTTTTTCTTCTGAGGTCTCATTGTCATAAGAATGTGACACCAGGGCGGGTGGGGTGGTGCACACCTGTAAATCCAGCCCTTGAGAAGTGGAGGCAGGACCAAGAGTTTAAGGTTAGAGACTTGACTACATAGTGAGTTCCAAACCGGCCTGGACTACAAGGGGCATTGGGTCAATGAAAGAGGGGTGGGTGGAGAGAGGAGGAGGAAGGCCAAGAAATGAGAGGGAGAAGGCTCGGTCAGTGAAAGGCTTGCTGTACACACACACAAGAACCAGAATGGGGGTCTCCAGCGCCCATGTAAAAAGGCCGGATGTAATTGTGCACGTGCCTATAACCCCGTTATCGTGGAGACAGAGACAGGGGGATCCCTAGCACTTGCTAGCAGCCGGTCTCTCCAAATCTACAAACTCCAGGTTCAGTGAAAGATTGTCTAAACAATTAAGCTAGAAAGTGATTGAGGAAGACACCCAATGATGACCTCTGGCTCTTGAACACACACACACACACACACACCAGCACATATGTACCCACCCTGATACAAAAAAGAATGACACTAGGCTATTGTTGATCATGATTAATAAAAGTAGATGCCTTGAAGCCTCTTCCTAAGGGGGGAAGATGAGCCTTCTAAGAGAAATGCAGGGTCTGTCCCACAAACCCATTGCTCCCCGCTGCCCGTCACTAGCCACTGGAGCCCCTACTCCAGACTGTCCAACAGGGACTCTTCTCTGACCCACCGTTCATGGCTGCCCCTAAAAGATCTGCATATTCGAGTTCACTGTGGCCCCTGGGCAAGCTGTCCCTGTTGGCCGTGCCCAGAACATCTGGGGCTGAGGACATGATGGCAGCCGCAGAGGCAGAAGCAAAATTCATTGCCAATTGTTGTACCTCATGTGTCTAGACCGTTTCCCCCACACCATCCCCCGGTGAGCCAGGTGTCATCCCTGTTGCAGACAAGGCCAGTCTCTTACCTCTTGGAAATGTCTGTTTCATCTGTGAAATTGGATAATGGTTCCTACCACACGGCCTGGTTGTAAGGATTAATGATGTAAGGCACGTGGAACGTTCAATGCGCTGCTGGCGGCTGGCCCGCTTTCAATCACTGTCAGTTTTTCTTGTTACTATTTCCAGCCCCCTCCCCTCCAGTCACGGACCACCCACAATCACCTGCCATTCATCTCAACCTCATCGTTAGGTTATTTTGGTCTCAGCTGCCGTTTTGAGAGCCACCTCACCTTATTGATTTGGATTTTAAATTTCTGGTTAAAAAAAAAAAATAATCAAACCTCAGTTCTTGGAACTTATTCAGGCAGTAAGAGTCCCTCCAGCTTGTCTCTCATTCTTGGCTTTGGCATGCTCTCATGAGGATGCTCTGCCCTCTAATGATCACTTCAGAAATCTCTGGGCTTGGGTTGGGATGTAGCTCAGTTGGTAGCATGTCCATCCAGCAAGCATGAAGCTCTGGGGTCCGTCCCTAGCACTGCATAAGCTGGGCATACTGGTACATGCCTGTAATCCCAGAAGGATTAGGAATTCCAGGCCAACCTTGGCTTCATCATTAGTCTGAAGCCAGCTTGCAATGCACAAGTCCTCAAGAAATAAATAAAAATAGGGATCTAATGCCTTAAATATCTTCATTAGTCTCTTTAATAATATTAAAGTATCTTTTTCCACGCCAGATACTATGGGACCTGCTTGTTACCCACTTGGGAGGCTAAGGCAGGAGGATTGTCATGAATCTGAGGCCAGCCTGGGCTACATAGTGAATTCTAGGTTAGCCAGAAGTACACAGTGGGACTGTCTAAAAACACGAAGCCTGAAGTATTTTTCTTCAACATGCAGAAATGAACAGGTGTTCACTCCCAGTTAGAGTAATCTAGCCACAGTGTACAGGCGAGAAACGGAGGCACAGCTCCCTGGATGTAGGGCCTCTGCATCCATCCCCGCCGCTAACCCCCCTGCTACCCTCACGTGCCCTCTGCTTCCTTCTGCAGGTTTATTTTCCCCACACGGCTTGGAGCTGAAAGCCAGTTCAGTGATTTTCTGGATGGCCTGGGACCAGCCCAGATTGTGGGGCGACAAACACTGGCCACACCCCCCATGGGTAAGTCTTGGAAGAAGGACAAGCAGGGTGTGGGGGGCACAGCAGTGAGGCCCTGTGTACGGCAGGGGCAGGCAGCAGGAGGGGCCAGGGTCCCAGCCTTTCTCTCCTCACTGTTCAGCAGCAGTTTCTCCAGACTGCCCCTGCGCCCCCCCCACCCCCCCCCCCCCCCCCGCAGTCACCCTCCCCTGCTGTGTAGACACTGTTGGCTCCTGTTGATTTACCTTCTCTGACCTTGGACAAGTAAGTCACGACCCTTCTTTGAGCCTCGGTTTCCTCATCGGGAAAATGGAATCAGTAATTCCTACTTTAGTTCTCCAATCTCATCACCCTTTCTGAGCTCCTGCTAGATACTTTCTATAAAGCATTTTAGTGTTCTCCTTAGGAACTGTGGCTAATTGGACTTGTTACGCCCAACAGCATCTGGCACTGAGGGACCTTTAGTAATTTTCTCATCTCTCTTTCTGTCAGCTAGGAAGCTCTTCTCAAAGCCCACATCGGGTCCTCTTAGCCGCTCTCAAGCTTCCCCCTCCCCATGTTCAGGCAGGCTTCCCCATCAGTTTGGCCTGAGCTTTGCCTGATCCAGGTGTCTCTACTCAACCCCATCCTGATGGTTCTTGACCTTTGACCCTCACAGCAGAAGAGGGAAGTGAATGCTGACAGTGGAGCTGGGATTCTGTGCCAGTTTAGGACTCTGTATGTGGCACTATCCTTCCTTGGAAGAGGGGTCCACAAGACCCTCAGAGTCAAGGTCCACTCTCTTCTGGCCTTGGGTATTAGATTTGTTTAATTTGTTTAATTCCGAGATTTTGGTTGGTACTGGAGCCTGCTCATTATCCCAATCCCTTATCCCTACACACACCGAGAAGTGCCAGCCACTTCCATAATCTTTACTGACCCATCAGAACGTAGAATATTTTGTGTGTGTGGTGCCCCCTTGTGTTCCAAACCAGGAAAGACAAGTGTACATTCCCGGTTAGGCATGTTGTGATAGATTGATGGTCTCCTTGCCAAGGTCGGGAATCACTGGAGGGAGGAGGAGGAGGATAAATTTCGAGGTGTCTCTGAATGTGGTGAATTCCTGCCCCCAAAGTATATAAATGCCAATAATAACACGTTGACGATGATGGTTGACTGAACTCAAAGTCTAACTCAATTAATTTTCTTTTGGGGGGTGGAGATGAAGTTTATAATTCTACACCCATTGGAAGGGTGTTCCAAACAACCACTGTGTAGTTCTAAACTTAGCTCCCCCACAATGAGCAAAGCTAAGAGATCCTGGAAGTCAGCGTGACTGAAGCCCATACCTTTTTGGAGTAAGTTATGAGCTCTTGGCTTTCAGCGTGCAGGTGATGGGGGGCCCGCCCTACTCCCTTTGTCCAGGGTCAAAGATGTCCTGGGCAGGCTCGTAGCTTAGCGTCTCTTCGCGTGGATACTCTCTTGGTATCTGTCTGACATATAATAAAGAGACTGGCTGAGGGCTGCTGTGTAGGCTCTGCCTCCCAGACTTGCCTGTTCTGTGTAGCGAAGCAGAAGCCCCCAGTCCACCAGACATAGGTAAGAGTTCGGTAGCCCTTAGTTATGACCTGAGCATGTGTCCCTTGAGGGTCCTTCCCCCACAGCCTATCACAGTGTTTCTTAGTCCCTTTGAAGTAGCAGTTTCAACATGTGCAGCATGCTCTGTCACAGTCCCTTTCCAGGGACCCCGCAGCATCCCCCGCAGGGTGGTGGTCTCCGTTTCATCTTCCAGCCTGCCCCATCTGACTTCACCTGGACTTCTGTTCTTTTCCCTTGCAGGAGACGTGCACATTGCCATCATGGACCGGAGCGGCCAGCTGGAGGTGGAAGTGATCGAAGCTCGGGGCCTGACCCCCAAACCAGGCTCCAAATCCCTCCCAGGTGAGGCTGAGCTGCTGGGAGATGTGAGGAAGGGTCTTGGCAGGGATGGGATACTAGCAAGTCCTCAGCTCACCGGTGCCCTAAAGCAGTGCTGTGGACAGTGATTCACACCTTGCCTGGATGGAAGGTTGGTGAGCAAGCTGGGCCAGCTCACCCCACCCCCACACCCCACCAGAACCACCTGGAGGGTGGGGGCAGGCTATGGCATCTCTCCCAACCATGCTCCTTCATTTTCAGCCACCTATATCAAGGCTTACCTGCTGGAGAACGGGGCATGTGTAGCCAAGAAAAAAACGAAGGTGGCCAAGAAGACCTGTGATCCCTTGTACCAGCAGGCTCTGCTCTTTGACGAGGGGCCCCAAGGCAAGGTTCTGCAGGTCAGTGTTTACAGGGTGGACGCTCAAGTTCAGGTCAAGCATTGAACCAGGTGCATTCATTTACTTCGCCTCTTCTTTGTCATCGTGGGGGGGTGGGTGCACGTGCACTTGGGAGGCACACATGTAGCGTGGAGTCAGTTCTCCTTCACCTTGACGTGGCTTCCGGGCATTGAACTGAGGTCCTTCAGCTTCTGTGGAAAGCACTTCACCTGCTGGGCCATCTCGCCAGCCCCCTTTTTCTTTCTCTCCCCACCTCCTTCCCTCCCTCTTCCTGTTCCCCTCTGTTTTAATGTCGCAGCCCATGCTTTTGTTCCCCAACAGTTCAGAGGGTTTTGGGCGATAGTGAAATAGCTCCCCATTCTCCCAGCTGGGCAGGAGAACCAGGCTTTATTCGCGGGCCGCCTCCACTTTCCTACCTTTCCTACCTGTGCCTTGTCCCTCACTGGGTGCTGGGTGTTGCTAGGCACTTTCTAGAATGATTTATGTCTTCCTCAGAGGTGATCCTGGGAAGGAGGTGTGGTTTCCCCATTTTGCAAACGAGGAGGCGGGGTCTCAGAAAGATGAAGGGCCTGCTCAGTTGAGTGATGAACAGAACTGAGCCCAAGTCGGGGGTGACTCTCGGGCCAGCCAGCTCCTTGAGAATGAAACAATATATCGGTGGCTTTTCCTGATGAGCATGAGGGACGGGTGTCGCCTCATTGCGCCTCTTCAGTAGATGAACCTGAGTTCACATGGGCCTACCTGACTTTCTTGGCTCAACTGCTTGACACTCATTGTGGTTAGGATGTGCGGAGAAGAGATGGCCCAGAGGTTAAGAGCATGCACCACTGTTGTAGAAGACAGTTCCTGTCACACATGTCAGGGTGACTCACAACTGCCTCTGGCTCCAGCTCCAGGAGGTCCCAGTGCCTCTGGCCCCTGTGGGAACCTTCACTCATGTTTATGCATGCACATACATATTTTTAAAAACGTTTAAGAGTTTGCACATAGGCAGACACCCACCAAGTTAAAAGTGGTGGTGGCTTGCCTTGCCTGAAGCCTGGCTTACTTATTTGTAACAAACACTCAAGATTCATTCTAAAGGAGAAAAGATTATTCTGGGTGAGGTTTGGAGACTCAAGTCCACTGCCGGTTGGGGCTGTGGAGACAGCTGCTCACCTCGGGGCGCTTGGAAAGCCGAGGAAGAGCCTGGAATCCCATAATCCCCTTTCAGGAATCCACCTCTGATGTTTTTAATCCTCCAGCTTGTCCAACTCGTAGCAGGCTGTTCCTCTGAGCTGTGATGGGGTTCTGTCCTAAGGGCCCATGGGGTTACAACCGAAGGGCTGCAGAACTCTGGGGTTCTGGGGCAGAGGCCCAATATCAGATGGCTGTTTTTAAAAATGTTTGAAAACTCATTGAGCCAATCTCTTCCTCCTCGAATTCCAGATGGAGAGAGTCAGGGCAAGGGCCTTATTGAGGCCCACAGCAGCCAGCAGCAGGGCCGCAGCTATGACCCTATGACCCGGGCCCTGAACACGTCTGTTCCTTTGTGGCAAGAGCTGCTGCCTGGGGTGCTAGGAGGTCTGGAACCAGATCCACCCAGGATCTAATCCCAGATCACTGTGGGGCATTGTGTTGGTTAGTTAAACCCTGCCACAGGGGTGAAAAAATACTTGTTACAACAGTTGAGATGATGCATGGCCCCCATAGGATACAGTCTGCCATGTCCCAGGCACTCAGAAAGTACATGCCCGTATTGTTTTTAATTCTGACTCTCCCATCTGTGCCCTCGGGAAGCTGGTAGGTCCTGGGCCCGCTGCCCAGTCCTGGAGGTTCAGTGCTTCCCCCTTCCCCCTCCTTCTGCCAGGTGATCGTCTGGGGAGACTACGGCCGTATGGACCACAAGTGCTTCATGGGTATGGCCCAGATCATGCTGGACGAGTTGGACCTAAGTGCTGCTGTCACGGGCTGGTACAAACTCTTCCCCACATCCTCTGTGGCTGACTCCACACTCGGATCCCTTACCAGGCGCCTGTCCCAGTCCTCTTTGGAGAGTGCCACCAGCCCCTCCCCCTCGTGCTCCTAAGGACCTCACTGAGGACAAGAGGCCAGGGGCTGGAGGGGGAAGGGAGCCTGCTGGCCACACTGCCCCCTGTACATAGTCTCCATGTCTTTCTGGACCCCTCGCCCTGCTGCATGCCTGTTGGCCGCTGGGCTTGTCCCAGCTGGTAGTGGAGACTGTAGTGTGTGTTTGTGTGTCTGTGTGTGTGTGTGCGCGTGTGTGACCACATTTTATCTGTCCATTTGTCTGGGTACAGTCAGTCCTGGTGACCACATGGACTGCAGTCCACACCTCTGTATCTTGCTGGAAAGAATCCAAAGGAGCATCATGTGGACACATCTCGTCCCTGGAGTCTCCAGGGGTGGAAGTAGGGGATGTGGCCACTGGTGGGCCTTGCTTGGTCCCGGCCTGGTTCTTGTCTCTGGTCTCCACTTGGTTTCCTGTCCTGTCTTTTGTTTCCTTCCTCTCCCAGCATTGCTGCTCTTTTTTGAGGAATGCAGCATCCATTGCAGCTGACCATACCTGATGCCCTCTAGGAATCCAGTCTCTTCTCCCGCCCCCAGCCGTGCTGGCCACCATCCCATTGAATGCACTCCACAAGCATGTGGCATGCTCACTCATCGCCCTGGCCCAGCCCCCAGGAAGACAGGATGTCTGGGGAGGAGGGGCCTTGAGAGTGTTTCTCCCTGGGGCTGGCACCTTCTTACAGGCCAAGTACAGGAGAGCTGAGTTCCAGGGTGCTGGCCAGACACACTGGAGGACGTGCTATGGCCTGGCCTCCCCTCTGCTGGAGTGTGCTCCAGCATGCCAAAGGAGCTCCCCTAGTGGGCCCAGGGGGGTTTCTGTCAAATCAGATGGCCTTCTCGGACATCAAGGATGGGCCTGGCCCCTTTTGGACTTATCCTTGAGGGAGCATGGCTTGGTAAGAGGTGTCATGGGTAGGGCTGCTTGCTGAAGTCAGGGGGACTAAGGCTGAATTGTTTTGAGCCACTGTCAAGAGCCCTGTCTGGCCTGGGGATTAGCCGCATGAAGCGTTCTTCAGGGTTCTGCTTTCTTTGCTCATCTCTAGACACCAGTCCCCAGCTGGGGTTCTGACACACAGCCTCCTAACTCCATGAGCAGCCTGGCTCTGCACTCGAGGGTGCCTCTGTCACCAGCTCTGTACCAGCAATACTTACCCCTCACCTCCCTGCCTTTCTTGAGTGGCCCTCTGCTCCTCTGGGCAGTGGCCTGCACTAGGCACCCCAGCTGCCTCTGCTTTACTACCCCGTTCCCTTGTCCGGTTGGGGCTCCTCCCAACCACTGAGAACCCTGTTGGAGGGACTAGTGCCTGGGCTTGAGCCTGAGATGGCTGTTAATACTAAAGGCTAGCTCTGGGATGTCGTACCCGTTCCTCTCCTCTTTAGCTATGGGGTGGAATTGGAGGTTGCCTGGGAGATGGCAAAGCAGCCCTGGTCCATGTCCAATAGGAAGGAGGAGGGGTGGTGGGGGGTAGGGTAGAGGAAGGCTCTCTTTCTGCCTCTCTTCTAGCCCATCTCCAAGTGTGGCCATGCCTCTAGCCCAAGTCCCTAGGCAAGTGAGAGCTACCAGGGTAACTGTGAAAAATCCTTGGCCCGTGTGTGAATTCCATTTGTACCAAAGCTGGGGTATATAAAGCCAGCCCAGCCCAAAAGACCTCCCCGTAGTCAGAGTCCTGCACCCTCCTTGCAAAGAAAGATAGTGAAGAAGCCCCCACACAAACTGGGGTTGAGGCGGAAGATAGTGAACAGGACTGAGGATGTCTGCGCAGGCAGGTGAGTGAGGTAGTGACCAGTGACGTTTCCCTTGCCAGCCTTGCCGGCTGGGAGTATATGTATCTCCCATGTCACTAGACACGAGGCGAAGTGCTCTGGCCTCTGAGCCTTAACGGGTAGGGGGCAAGGAGGAAACTGGCTTGCAAAGGGCTGTTTTCCTCTTGCTTGTGGCGTGTGCACCTGTAAAGCAGTTATCCTCCGGATGGTGTGAAAGCCATCTGGAGTGGAGGAGGCTCAGTAACCCACTGACAGCATAGACCTTTGCTGAGGTAGCACTGAGTCACCTCCAGAAGTGGGAGCTGCTAGCAGAGGGGCTTCCGGCCTTGGAGTTTCTCATTTAGGAGGCTTAGCACAGGGGATGATGATGTGCTGGGAACTCCTGCTGACCTGCCTGCCTACAGTCGGTGGCTGTAAACTGCCTAGGAGATGACTTGGCTGTCCCACCCCTCTCATGGAAGGTAACCCCCCCCCAATTGATCTTGAGAAATTCACTCCTTTTAACACTGAAGAAGTAATCCACCTAGATTCTTGCCCACACATGTGGGGTGTGTAAGGCTAGTATGTCCATGTGATAGAGGGGCTGGATTTAAAGGTCTGTTTCTCAGCACCCTGGCTGCAGGGCTCCACTGGGATACCATTCTAGAGATAGCCCTGTCTCAGAAGAGGAGTGTGACTTGTCTGGGCTGGGAGCCATCTGCCCTCTGAGGAAAGGACAATGGGTCAAGAAGTAACTGGGTCCTGGTGAGTTCCCTCACCAGCGGGCCACCTCACATAACCCCTTGCCCCAGGCGGCAGTGGTCACAGGAGTGGAACTCAGTTGTCCCACCTCCTCTAGGCAGGCCAGATTCATCAGCGCTGTGGCTGAGACAGGAGTAACCCTGCAGCGAGAGATGCTGGGCTGTGGGCAGTGATGAATGACTCAGAGCATGTGTCTCTGTATTTCTGCCCTGCTCAGCCTGTCCCACTTTTTAACAGATTCCTTCCCTACAAGGAAGGCAGAGATGGGACTCTGTGATGGGAAACATTCTCTAGGAAATGGGCCAAGGCTTGGTTTGACAAGGGGATATTTGGTCCTTTGGGGAAGAATCCGTTCCAAAGGCTCTCATCCAGTCTCTCCTCCCACCCAGCTCTACTGAGGATCACCTATTCAGCGGGTCCTGGGCAGTGCCAGCATGCCATTGGGTAGAGGGAAGACCAAGGAAAGCTCTGGAGAGGCAGGGGAGGTGGTGCCTGGTGGTCCTGCACTGGGGTCAAGCTAACTCTCCCAGGGGCTCGACCCCCCACCAAGGAAGCATGCCAGCTCTTCCTTTACTGCCAGCCTGGGGGAGACCAGCAGCCTCTGTTTTGTTTTTTGTTTTGTTTTTTTAAAGACAATTGAGCCCTCCCAGGGCATTTCTATGGAAATGAAATGTAGCACAATCCTCAACTGTGTTCCCAGGAGCCCTGTCATACCCAGGGGCCTCACACTGCAGGTTCTGCTTCCCCGGGGACCCAGAGCTCCTGATACCTCATGTTCTCCATCACCCTTGCCCTAGGAAGCAGTGACGCCCCAGCAAGGCTGCTCTTCTGTGTTTCTCCGATTGCATCCAGCACTGTGCAAACTCTTTTAAGAAGTCGCTGCCTTTGACCGAGGTTGCTCTCCACAGTGTGGGGAGATGTGGTACTTCAGGTGGGGCCTGAAAGCTTGTCCAGCAGCATTTCTGTAGTGGCCACGGGGAGGTGCTTCCCTACCACCTCCTCTTCTCTCCTGCTCCTCAGTTGTCTCCAATGTCCTGACACATAGACATTCTTTTGAATGTGCCCCCTCTCCTGCATCATCTTCCGCTGGATGGTCAGAGAGGAGGAGATGGAAATGTAGACTCTTTCCCTGCCTTCTCCCTCCAGTCTGCTCTGCTTCTAGGCCAGGTCCAAAGAGGCTGGGGAGATTAACCACCATCAGAGAGCAGGGGAGCCCCATCCAATCAGGTGTGGCTCGATGGTGGCCGGATCAGCCTGGCCTGGCTGGGAAAGGGTCATTTTGAGAGTGCCTGAGCATCTCAGAGCAATGTCAGTGAATGCCAAGAGAGCAACTTGGCCTCCTTGGGCACCAGCTCTGTCGGTGGAGCTGGACACACACAGATCAGACGTTGGCATGCCCAAGGGAAGGTCCTTGTTCTCTGACAAAGGGCT